GTAGGGTCGGGAGTATACTTTCGCAGCATGGATACGTGGAACACATTGTGCACGGCGGCAAGGTTCGGTGGTAGGGCAATTCTGTAAGCCACAGCCCCGACTCTGTCCAGAATCTCGAAGGGGCCTATGAACCTTGGGCTCCATTTCCCTTTCTTCCCGAACCTCAACACCCCCCTCATAGGGGCCACCTTCAGGAACACGTGGTCACCCACCTCAAATTCGAGGTCCCTTCTACGCACAACTGCATAGCTTTTCTGTCGACTCTGTGCGGTGAGTATCCTCTGTTTGATTTTCTGCACCGCTGCGTTGGTGACCTGGACCAACTCTGGTCCCATTAGTTGCTGCGTGCCTACCTCTTCCCAAAACACTGGTGTTCGACACCTACGCCCATACAGTGCCTCGAAGGGGGCCATCTGAATGGTCGCTTGATAACTATTGTTGTAGGCAAACTCCATTAAAGGCAGATGTTCGTCCCAACACCCAGCGAAATCTAAGGAGCAGGCTCGCAACATGTCCTCTAAAACCTGATTCAGCCTTTCGGTCTGTCCGTCCGTTTGAGGATGGAATGCTGTACTGAACCTCAACTGAGTTCCTAGTGCCTTCTGAAGACTCCTCCAGAACTGAGAGGTGAACCTGGTGTCCCGGTCTGATACTATGGACACTGGTACCCCGTGCAGGCGTACTATCTCCTTGATATATAACTGAGCCCACCGGTTTACTCGATATGTGGACTTTCCTGGAATGAAGTGGGCTGTCTTAGTCAGTCTGTCTACAATTACCCATACGACGTTGAAACCTTGCTTTGTCTTTGGCAAACCCGAAATGAAATCCATACAGACTGCTTCCCATTTCCACTGAGGGACGCTCAGGGGCTGTAGCAATCCCGCTGGGCGCTGCCTCGGGGCCTTCACCTGCTGGCAGGTCAAGCAACGGCTTACGAAATCCGCTATGTCCCTCTTCATTCCGGACCACCAGTAAAACCTCTTCAGATCCTGATACATCTTTGTACTTCCAGGGTGGAACACATAAGATGTATCGTGGGCTTCGGTCATAATATCTTTTAAGATTCCCTCGTCTCGGGGAACGCACAGGCGGTTTTGCCATAGCAGACCCCCGTCTGAGGAGATAGAATACCCTACTGGCCTCTCGGTCTCAATCTGACTCCACACTTTACTGAGGTGTTCATCAGACCTCTGAGCGTCGATAACTTTCTTTCGTAGGGTAGGCTGTATAGTTAACTGTGCTATCTGAACATTACCACCTTTAATCACCACGTCTATCCCAGCCCTCTTCATCTCATCTTGTAGTTTTTCCTGTGTGGTGATCATCACAGAAGTATGCACAGCCTTCCTGCTCAATGCATCAGCTACCACATTGGCTTTGCCTGGATGGTACAGAATCTCTATGTCATAATCCTTTACCAGCTCCAACCATCGCCTCTGTCTCATATTGAGCTCCTTCTGCGTGAATAAGTACTTGAGGCTCTTATGATCAGTGAAGACTTGTACTTTTTCCCCATACAGGTAGTGCCGCCACATTTTTAGAGTGAATACTACCGCTGCTAACTCGAGATCATGCGTGGGGTAGTTTCGTTCATATTCTTTCAATTGTCGAGAAGCATACGCTATCACCTTACCTTTTTGCATGAGCACACACCCCAAGCCTTTCCCTGATGCATCACTGTACACCACGAGATTACCTGACCCATCTGGAACCGTAAGGACTGGTGCAGTTACCAACCTCTTCTTGAGTTCCTGGAAACTCTGTTCGCAGACTGGAGTCCAAGCAAAGGGCTTGCCCTTCTTGGTTAGCTGAGTCAGCGCCGAGGAAATTTTGGAGAAATCCTGAACAAACCTTCTGTAATAACCAGCTAGCCCAAGAAAACTCCTCACCTCTGTGACTGTGGTCGGCTGTGGGCACCTCATCACTGCTTCTATCTTAGCTGGGTCCACTGTGATCCCCTTGCTTGACACCACGTGACCTAGAAACGCAACTTCAGACAACCAAAACTCACACTTAGGTGATCCCCTTGCTTGACACCACGTGACCTAGAAACGCAACTTCAGACAACCAAAACTCACACTTAGAGAACTTGGCATACAGACACCACGTGACCTAGAAACGCAACTTCAGACAACCAAAACTCACACTTAGAGAACTTGGCATACAACTGCTGAGCTCTCAGTATTGTCAAGACTTTTCTGAGGTGTATTTCATGATCTGCCTCTGTCTTAGAGTATACCAGAATGTCGTCGATGAACACTAAGACAAAGGGTGTCTAAGAATTTCTTAAACACCCTGTTCATTAGTTCCATGAAAACAGCTGGTGCATTGGTAAGGCCAAAAGACATAACGAGAAACTCGTAATGCCCATAACGACTTCTGAAGGCTGTCTTGGGTATATCCCCTTCCCTGACCCTCAACTGATGATACCCCGACCTTAGGTCAATTTTGGAGAAAACTGTTGCTCCCTGTAGCTGATCAAACAGGTCGTCAATTCTCGGGAGAGGGTACTTATTCTTTATAGTGACCTTGTTTAATTCCCTGTAATCAATACACATCCGCATGAACCCGTCCTTCTTCTTGACAAACAGAACAGGGGCTCCCCAGGATGATACACTGGGTCGGATGAAACCCTTATCCAACAACTCCTGTAACTGTTCCTTCAATTCCCTGAGTTCTGCAGGTGCCATCCTGTAAGGTGCCTTGGAGATCGGCACCGTTCCTGGTTCTAAATCGATCCCAAAATCGACTTCCCTAGCTGGGGGCAAACCCGGCAGATCCTCCGGAAAGACATCTACGAACTCCCTGACGATGTGTACCGATGAGGTTTTTTGTTTGTTACTATTATCTAAGGTCACGCTGGCTAGGAATGCAATTGCGCCACTACGAATCAACTTCTTAGCCCTTAGCGAGGTTATGACGCTCGGGACACCTTTGGAAGTGGCTCCCTTGTAGGTAAAGATGTCCCCTGACGGGAGCCTGAGAGTCACTATTCGGGTCTCGCAGTCTATCAAAACGCGATTCCCGCCTAGCCAATCCCTACCCAAGATGACATCGAAGTCTTGCATCCTTAACACTATCAGTGTAGCTTCGATGACACGCCCTGCTATCGTTACTCCACCTCCCTTCACCCTATGGGTAGCTAGCAACAGCTCGTGAGCAGGGGTAGACACTGATAGGGTAATCTCTAAAAGTTCTTTCTCTAGCTGTGCTAGCTCTACAAACTCTTCAGATACGAATGAATGCGTCGAACCCGAATCAAACAACACTAATGCAAGATGACCAAATACGGGTAGCGTACCTGTGACAACCGCGTCAGGCTGGTCAGCTTGCCTGGCTATTGTTGCATGGGCTACAGCTCGCCCCTGCTGATGTTGGCCGGCTTGGCCCCTCTGATGCTGTACTGCAGGCAGGTTGACACGCTGATCGTTTCTCTGAGGGCAATCCACTGCAAAGTGCCCTACCTGACCGCATCTGTAGCAGGCGCCTGTTCCTGCTCTGCATTCCCCCGTGTGAGGACGCCGACAATTAGGGCACAAGGTCATGTTCCGTACCGGGGCTCTCCCTCGCCTATCAGTGCGGCCACGGGGTGGTCTGCCAGTTCTGGGGTGGCTAGGGTATGCCCCCTTTCCCTGGGCCGCAGTGTGGGATGATTGTGCTATTCCCAACTGAAGCTTGTCGGTACGGGGCGAGTCGAGCAGGGTCGCCACCTGAAGGGCTTTCGTATAGACAAATGATGACTGGGATGCCACATTCCCCCTTAGTTCTTCCCTCAGGCCAGCAATAAATCGTTCGCCCTTCAACTCCTCAGAACTAACATAGGCTGGAGAAAACCTTGCCAGCCTATTGAACTCCAAGTCATAATCCCCCACTGATCTGTCTCCCTGTTTCAATGCGAGGAACGCGGCCTGCATTTTCACTCTGGCAGTGATTGGGTAGTAATTGTGGAGGTATGTGTCTTTAAACTGACACCATGTAATAAACTCTCCTTGTGGTACTATGGTTTTCTGAGCACCTTTCCACCAGAAGTGCGCTTCTCCTTTCAGCATATATGTCCCACAATGGACTTCATACTTTGGTGGGCAGTTCATAAAATGGAAGGCCGTTTCTATGGCCTCTAGCCAATTCTCAGCGGCAATAGGATCCATCTTGCCTCCGTCAAAGGAAGACGGTTTATGCCTCTAGAAATCTCTCAAGTAGCGGGACTCCACAGTCATAGTCCCTGAATCCTTGCCCCCTTGCCCTGTTGACTGATTAGACATCATGGTCTGAATCATCTGGTTCGTCAGAGCTTGATTTTCCATCGACGTCATCATGAACGTCTGAAACATCTCTGCTGAGGGCATGGCTAATGGCTGGTTTAGTGGGACTGCTGTACACGGGGTTGGATCCGATGGGGCCTCCTCGGAGAAGGGAGTAGTAGGGGGTGTCTCGAGCAGCCTTCGGGCCTTGGCCTTCATTCGGCGTCTTTTCGATCTTGATGGCTGTGGTACTGTCCCCTCGCTAGTTTGGGGCATATCCCCAACCTCCTCCTGAAGTTCAGGTTGTTCCTCTTCAGGTATTGGAACCGAGGTGTCCTAAACTTCCTCTCTTCTTCCCCTTCTAGGTCCTGGCCCTACATACGGTTCGCGTCTCTTTGGTGCCATTATCTACCACGATAACAAAGAACTATGGTCACAATTCATCCACAACACATCTCCTAGGTAATGTGCGATATAATGCCCTGGTCAGTCATGGTATGCTCTATAAATACTAACTTAACCTTTGTCTCTATGTTTCCGTCGCGTGAGAACGTCTGGTCGTGAGCGGCATGTGATTGACGAGCGAAGTCACAGAGGACACGACTCTCTACCCTAAATGTCTACAGGACCTATAACCTGACGGCTCTGATACCAAATTTGTCACACCCCAATATTTTACTACGGACAGTGACTAACGACACGACACATATGCACAAGAGATTTAAATATGAAGTAGCGAAAATCATAAAATTTCAATAAAGTTTTTCGAACGATAAACACAGAACACAAGACCGTTTGGAAAATAAATTTAAAAAGAATGCGAATACAAAAATGATGACTAAGACTGGACTGACGCCCCGGGACAACCCATTCCTCTATGACAATTCCCTTCAGATCACGCCCACTCTTGACCGACGCCTCGCGCCCCTGAAAAAAAAAAAAGAAAACATAGCAAGGTTGAGTATAAAAATTATACTCAGTAAGCCACCTACTTGTAGGCTCTTTTCGCATCTTAATTTAGCAGAACTCCCACGGTTTCCTAATTCGGTTCTAGGACATCGGGTTCTAACCTTAGTCTCTTGGGGCTTGCCCCTTGGGTTTCACCAGTTCATCGTCCTTTCATTAGTCACCTAGAGGTTCCTTATGCCAAGCTAATATGGTCGGTATCTCTCTATGAGGCGCTACCTCTACATGGCTATCTAGAACTACATGGTACCTAGCCTAGGGGTGTGCTGAATACCCCTACGCCCATACAGTCCTCCTATGGGGGGCGCGACCCAACCCGTTCCCATGCAGCTAATGGGCTGTACGACGTGGGGACACATTTCCCATGCGAAATGGCTAAGAACAGTAAGGACTGATCAGGGACCCTTGGTCCTCCCACGAAGCTATAGATACCGTTCTCACGCTAGCAATCTATGAACCCCCTTAGGTACTTTCTTACCGTGGTAAACCGCTAAGTTTCTAGGGGAAAATTAAGTCTGTCTAGAGCGGCATATCGCTCCTATCCAAGATTCCCTAATCTTATCAAAGAAATGGGCCCTAGCAATTAACAGAGGGTGCATGTAATCTTCTTCTAACATCATAGTATGTGATTCATGCAAACTAGGCGTACCGGCTCAACGGGGCGATGACCTCCATCAAGCACCCGGAGCACGAAGTTCGCGTTCAATGGGGCGAATTCGTCCATCAAACACCCGTACCCGGCATACTCAATTCCACACATCAATTAACGCATGCATACATACGGCGGAAGCCTAAGGCATACAAGCGACACTCATGTAATTTACACAATTCAAACACAACAGATAAACTGACTAGTAACTTACATGAAGAGCTAATCTGAAGCAGAACTACTAGCATGCATGCAATCTGAGCGATTCCTACAAGTATTTCTTCCTAAATACTGGGTGGTGACTTACCTGGTTGATGCGTGCCCCTTCGCTAGCGTTTCTTTGCCCGTGAGGTGTCCAATACTACTGATTTCTCTAAATTAAGTCCCTATCCACGTAAAAACAGTATTAGAACTGGAGTTGGGACAAAAATCGAGAAAACAGAAAACAACCGGGCCAAACTGGCCGTTCCACGCGCGCTCACGCGCCCAGCAGCACGCTGGAAGTGCGTGGCCACGCGCGCGGGAAGGCGCCAGCCGCAGGTTGCACGCGCGCCCAATTCTGCACAATCGCGGGTCGC